GTATAGTTGCCAATTGAAACAAAAAAAACCATTCAATTTGTTCTTAATTTTTCAACAATCATTCCAAATTTCAATGAATAAAATTCGTAAATAATATCAACTTTTACTTAAACGGAATCATTTTTCTGACCTTTTAGGAAAAAAATATAGCTAACCATCTTTTTAATCTGCTTCATAGCATCTTAAATAAGTTTTTTTGTTTTGTTATGTAACGTAATTGTGCACGTACAGATATAGCTTCACCAATTTTTATATAAAGAAACAAGACGTTATACTAAATAATTGAATTAGAAAATATATTAGTACATTCTTTCTTGTCTAATAACCTCGAAGGGATCAAACATGTACATCTCCATAGGTTGAGGTTAAACTGTTGATAGTACCATGACACGACATATTCATTTTTCTCAGAAAAGTTGGATATGGAGTACAAAAGAACCAACTCTTTGCGCTAACCACTAGACCCTCATATATTTCGTTAATTTATGTATTTCATTTCAGTATATAAGTTCTTCTTAACTTAAGGATCATATGCAGTTTGTTCACATGTTCATGCAAATTGCAGCTGAACAATGACTGTGGATCTGCCCCAACTTTTTGTGTATACAAGAAAACGTGTATAATGAGTAGTAAGGACCTAGGAGTAACATGGAATATGGAGTATGGACCAACCCGAATTAATGGTACCTGCAGAAATTAAAGGTTTAAGAAGATGAAGTTAAAGCCATTATCAAACAAGTGGATCATATTTCACCTTTAATTTATAAACCCCGTGATTTTCATTTTGCCTCCAAAGATAGATATCATAATTATCAAAGCAAATATAATCTCTTCTTTTTGGATAAAAATAAAATTTAAGCAAATATGATGGATTTTCATATTTTCCAATTACTTCATTTTATCCTCGTCGCAATTTTCATCTTCCACGGCTTGTGTTATTCCGGTGAAGGTACAATTAGTGATTTCCTTTACTAACCATTCAAAAATTTGTTCTTTTTCTTCATACTCTAACCATTCAATTTATGAAGTTTAAAGGTTACATCTACTATACTAATTCCAAAATCCTATGAATTTTTTTCTTGTCATGAAGCTGGTTATTATAGTTTTATGAAAGATGCAACATTAGCACCGAAGTTATCTAACTTCGACTACATAGTCATCGGTGGAGGAACCGCCGGATGTGCACTAGCCGCAACGCTATCTCAAAACGCTACCATTTTGGTTCTCGAACGCGGTGGGTCCCCTTACGAAAACTCGGCGGCCACAGACATCGGAAACTTCGCAAACACACTCTTGAACACAACATGGTCGCAGCTTTTCATATCCGAAGACGGCGTTTTCAACTCACGCGCGCGCGTGCTAGGCGGTGGCACGGTGCTAAACGCCGGGTTCTACTCGCGTGCCGAAGAAGATTTCGTGGCGGAATCCGGTTGGGATAGAAACGAGGTCGAAGCGGCTTACGAGTGGGTCGAGAAGAAAGTGGTGTTCGAACCGGAGGTTAAGGGATGGCATTCGGCGTTTAGAGACGGGCTTTTGGAAGCTGGAGTGAGTCCGTACAATGGTTTCACGTACGGACATATTCATGGTACGAAAATTGGCGGTACGATATTTGACAAGGATGGTCGGAGACACACGGCGGCGAATTTGTTGGAGTATGCTAATCAGAATATGATTGTTGTCTACTTGCATGCTTCTGTTCATAAGATCTTATTAACTTCTGAAGGTAATTTACTAATTTTGATTGATGTCTTTTTTTGGGTTTCCATAATAAGAAGTCTTTGATTGAAGAAGGAGAGTAAACGTACGGTTAGAAAGCGAGAGAGACGTAGAATACACGTAACTGAACCTTATCTTTAATTTAAATCACAACCTG